CCTGGACCTGGGCCTGCTGTGGGTGAGCAGGAGAGTAGGTGGCTGGGCCCAGGTGGTCTCACTCCCTGATGTATCAAGGATGACTGGCCGACCCGCTTTACCTAGGAGGGAAGGGTGTCCTGGGACATGGAAATTCAAACCCACAGCTCCTGTGAGGTGGCCTTTAGAGTACCCAGAGAATTTATTATTTAAACCAAAACACTTCTGAGAGTGAAATGGGGGATTGCCAGTATGCACCAGTTCAACCATCTGTATATTGGAACTATCCTGAGCATCTGCAAAGGGGTCCCTGTCTCCGTTAGGACCACCTGTGCGTCTGAGTCTGATTCCAGGAGGTACAGCACCTCATGTAGCCGAGGCTCAGCCCTCCCTCAGGCTTCTAGCTAAGGGGAGGGCACTGGAGACAATGACAGTGGTGTAAATGCTAACTAATGAGTGTGAGTGCGGGTACAAACTGCATTATTCATTTACAGATGAAAGTATTCCCAGGGTTCTAGAAAAGCAGAGAAACAACAGAAAGAGAACTTTAGAAATTTGCAGTTAAAAATATCTAAAATAATATATCTTATTTTAAGCATATAAAGTTTTTCTACCATTTGGGAAAATAAAAATTTCTTTAAATAGGGACTAGAAGACGGTGTAATGGCTATGTCGCTGGACTCCCATATGGCTAACCATGGTTCGAGTCCTGGACCCAGTGCTTGAAGCTCATGCCAGGTCCGCATGTATGTGTGCCCAAAATCCCAAGAGGAGAATGGAGGAGAAGGGATTGAAGCATGGCCATCCCCTCAGAGGTGGTTTCTCACTTTCTGTCTCTCTGTCTATCTGGGAAACACAAATCTATAGCAAAAATCTCCCTCTTAAAAAAAGAAAATTCTTTAAATAACCTGAAATGTGACAGTAATGAGAGTACAGAAGAAAAAATAAACTTTTTGGCTCTTAAGGTGGTAACAGGCCCCTGCCAGGCTTCACCAAGGTGGAGCACGTTCGGCTGGGGGTTGCAGGATGTGGGATTGGCCTTCTGGGTGCGGCTTGCCAGGCATCTGTGCTCCATCAGTGATGAGTATGGGTTGGGATTTGAAGTCCTGGCTCTTTGTAAGGCCCACACTCCCTTCTGCAGGATGGACACGCTCACTGAGTAGCCAAAGTGCAGAGGGCCCTGTCACCAAATACAAGTGGCAGCACGAAGTGATAGGGCATGCAGAAAAGAGAGGAACGAGCTTTGTCAGGGGACCAGGCCTGGGGGAAGAGATAGCCGCTATCTGCCAGGCGCTGTCGTCTTTGTCACCCTGCTGGCTTCAGCTTCCTGCTGTCATTGGAAAGAATTCCCAAAGAAAAGCTTAGCCCTCACACAGCCCGAGACTACGCTCTGGAGTCCTTAGAATGTGGGTGCAAGTGTTTATTTCCTGGGCATCTTGAGACCCTTTGGAGAGGGCAGGTTGAACACGGGAGAGGAAGAAAAGGACTGGACTGCGGGAGTCGTGGGCGAGGCTCTGCAGGCCGCCAGCAGTGTGGAAGCAGGTGAGGAGAAGCTGGGGATTCTCTGGGGACACTTTTCACAGCCGGTCTCCTCCTCTCATTTGTGCAGGACTGTGTGTGGCAGATGGTCCTGCACTTAGAGAATTGTGGAAATGATGCGGTCTAGGTAGAGACCTGTAACCACCACTGAGCAGTGCAGGGTGCCAGGTGCTCTAACGGTGGTTCCCCCAGCCAGTCCACTAGATATGGTCATGCAGGTTGCTTCTAATTTCTCTTCATAAAAGTAGTATTAAATAAACATTTATGTATCTTTATGCATACATCTTTGCTAAGTGTGCTACTTCCTATGATCGGTGTCTGAGATGGCTTTACTGGGTCCCAGGGCATACCAAGTCAAATTTCTGTGGACACCAAGAGACTTGGTTAGACTCAGGCTAAGCTACTTAGAGAAGAGAACTTTCCAGGTGGCACGGTTTTCTTCTCGCCGCATCCCACTGGAAGCCCCCTGAGGTCTGACGGTACCATTTTTAGAGGTTACAGTTGATTAGAGGGTTCATATGCTGTCCGTCAGCGGTGCCTTTCACTGAAAGTTCCCCATTGACCTTTCGCCTAGTGATTTTAGCTTCTATTAACAATTATCTTGGTCTGTTATTTTAATAGGGTTTGCAAAATGGTTTAAATAAGTATGATTTTTCCCCTACTTTGTAGCTGAATTTTTCCATAAACAGGTCACTTTGAATTACACCTTGTAGAGAAAAGGCAGGATATATCTTGATTCTTTCCCCTTCCTTACTCCTCTTAAGGCAGGAGTTAGCTAAGGTGCTCCACCCAGCAACGTAACAATTTTTGCTGCTTCCTATTTCTGTCTGCACATGGTAATGTGAAGAAATCCTTTTGCTTCTAAACTATTGAAAAGTCTTTTGTAAGAGTCACTGAAAGACACAGGAGAGAGGAACCTCGTTCGTCTCTGCGAGTGGTAGATAGTCTCCTGTCTGCCTCACTAATTTTCCCTGTTTTCACCTCCATTTGTTCTCGTGGTGGGATGAACAGCCTCTGGAGACATCGGACAGTTCCATTTGTCTAAGGTTGTTTTTATTGTTTGTTCTGAGACTCACTATTGATTATGTGGTCTTTTAACACTTCTCCTTTGTTCCATAAGTTTATGTAGCATCACATTGAGGAGAACAACGCTGCATCCCTGGGACAAGGTAGTGGGCTGCCATGTTCCTGGGGAGCTGTGGATGGCTAATCGTTAGGTAGTTCATGTTACAAGATTTCAGCTGCCTCCAAGAAAAAGCCAAAGAAACCTGCTGGGATGGAACCTACAGAGAAACAACAAAGCTGTCCCCTCTCTGTCTCTTTCATAACAGTAATTGCTTTATCGTGGGATATGGGTGATGGTGAGGACGATGGTGATGCTGCTGATGTGTGCATGTGTATGTGTGTGTGTGTTTGCACGTGGGTACTGAATTAAGGAGTGATTGTAAAAGTCAGAATAATTTGAGATAAGTACCTAGCCTAAATAAATCTGGGTTTATGAGTCTAAGAGTAGGCCAAAGAAACACTGGAGCCCAGTCTCCCCCGTGTAAGTAACGTCAACTCCGACAGCAGATCTGAGCTGGACTGGGCCGTGAGTTGTATGAGTGGGCAGTGTCTGTTTCAGCCAATGCTCTGGGTCCATTGTGGGGCTTGTGGGGTTTGTGGGGTCATTTTGAGAAAGAGTTGGTCCAATCAGAAAATATTTTTCTTATTATTTATTTATGTGTTTTGGAGTACACATAAGCTCTTCAGAGAGAGATAGGGAGGGAGAAAGCGACCCCCCCATGAAGCAGTTCACACTGCAACCCCTTCGCCTCCATTTCTGTCCTGTCGGGATTTGGGCACATGTACATGTACCTGGTGTGGTTTTCAAGCTTCTGAGCAAGGAGTCGAACCGCATGGTTGACTGGCTCCCTTAACTACTGACCCATGGGGTTTCTGAGTTTGTTGTTTGTTCTTGTAAAATCAGTATGTGTTTTAGACTAAGGCCTTTCTTCTTTTTTTCTTTTTATTTTTTTGGTCTCATTTACTGGGAAAATAGAAAGTTGAGGCCATAAAAACAAAACAGTACACACTGGAACAAAATGGAACTGGGCTGGGATAGCTGTAGAGCGCACGCTGAGAAACCGAACAAATAGAAGTCATTGCTTCATGTCGGCCGTCAGTTCACTGAGCCCTCACCACATGCAGGGCCCTGAGGGCAGAGCCCAGAGGAGACTGTCTGGGTCCTGAGGGTGTTTACTGGCTACAGTGATAAATGCTGTGAATAAATAGGCAACGATGAAATTGCGTGACGAGTGTTTCAGTAAGGACGCAGCTGAGGTCCTCAGGGTGCTCACAGGATGCACACCTAACCTACTCTGGGTGGCCCAGGGAAACACTCTAAGGGACTCTGAATGGAGCCCTGCTGGGTGGGAGAGAGAGAAGCAAAGTGAAGGTAAGGGCAGTTGCACGTGCAAAGGCCGTGCCCCGTCAGAGCATTGTTCTCAGGTTATGAAACACTAGGTGGGTCTGCAGTGAAGGCTGGGAGTGAACCGGAGACTTGGGGGGAAAATGGCAGGCCTTCCAAGTCAGAAAGAAGTGGGGTTAATCCCTCAAGGACTTTGGGCATCAATGACATGGGTCAGGCGGGTGTTGGAGGCGACCTCTGGCCTATAGTAAGTGGTCAGTAAACATTTCTGTAACAGAAGACAGCCTTGCAGCCTCGCACTCTTCATCCTGCCCTTGGATATCTGTGTGGTCTGGCAGAAGAGGTCACTGCACCCTTGCTGTGTAATGAAAGAATCTGGGCAGGGCAGCCCTGGTAGGTGTCTTCTCGCCCATCACATGTTCCTGCCTTCCTAATATTTTTAATAATTGCACCACTTAAAACTCAGCTGCAGTCCTGCATGGTGGTTTACCAATAGTGACCCTCTATACTTAGAAATCAAAGGAATAGGGACCAGCAGATGGCATAATGATTATGTTGCTGGACTCCCACGTAGTAACAGCAGTTTGAGTCCCAGTCCTGGTGGCTTAAAACTCACGCCAGACACATGTGCATGCATGCCCCAAATCCCAAGAGGAGAATGGAGGAGAAGAGACCTGGGTGTGGCCATCCTCCCTAAGGGGTGATATCTCACTTTCAGTCTCTCTCTGTCTCTCACATGCCACACATGCCCTATTGCAAAAGTATCTCTAAAAAAAAAAAGAAATCAAAGAAATAAATAGGACTATCTTATCCTTTGGTAAAGCTAAGAAAACGTATTTCTAAGACACAGGAACTGCTAAGCATATGGGGACAGTTCTCTGGAAACACCAACTTGTGTACTTTTTCTGTCGGAAAATGAGAGGCAGAGAAAAAAAAAGTGAGTATCTAGAAGGTAGGACTGAAACATCTTAGATGTGGGCAGAGATAAGAAAGCTTCCTGAACTTAAGAGACTGCTGAATATGAAGTGCTTTGATTGGCAGGGGAAAAATGGGGAAGAAAAGAGAGAGAATCAACCTCAAATTTTCTCAGATTGTTTCAATTTTAGAGTTAGAATAGAGACTGAGAAGTACGTCCTTTCAGATTGCAGAATCTTAGGGAGAAAGAGAAGGAAAAAGAGGCAGGACTCTGGGTCCGGAATGAGTCTGAGTAGCTGAAATGGTAAAGACTCTCCCAGAACCAGGTAGACTGGTTGACTGCAGCAAGCACCACTCCCTGGAATATTCGTGTACTCCAGCTCCCACCTGAGGATGCACTGTGTAGAGAAGAACTAGGAGGAGAAGAGTCAGCCCCACAGTGGGACCAGAGTTCCCTGCTGCTCCTGAAGGGCTAAGAAAAGAGCCTAGAAAAGCAAGGAATTTGCTAGTGACCCAAAGGTGGTGAAGTGAAGGGCCACAAAAACAGGAAGCTTCAAGCCAAGACAGATCGGGAAGACGAGGTAGAAAGAGCTGCACATACATCTCAAGGTCAGTAACCCTCTCAAGATAAAGATTGGACATGGCTGAGTTCATGCTGTTTAGATGAATCGTGTGCTAACAGGTTGGGCGGCCAATAACCCTATGTGGCGAGTAGCTATAGAGGGAAGGGAGCTCCAGGGAAAAGCTGTTATTCGCTGGATGGTTAAAGCCCATAAGCCCATAACTCTGTGAGGTTAATTATGGGAGTAGCTTTTATAAAATGGTGCCTGTTAAATTCCTTTTCTCAGGCTGTTTCTAGAGGAGTTGTATTTATAATAGGTCTGACTGTACAGTTCTTGAGAATAAGAAAAGTGTGTTAATTTTACCAGTGTTTGAGCTCTCAGGCTTAACTTTCCTTTTCTCAGGAAACACAGAACATAGATGAACTTCAATAATAAATGACTGCTACTCAGAGATTTGTTATCCCCCCAAGCGCTGGCCAACTTTTTCTGTGAAGAGTCAGTTAGCCTTCCGACTCACCATTGCTCACCTCTACCATTGTAACCCCACACAGCCAGACAGTATGTGAACAGAGGGCCTCTACTGTAGTTCAATTAAGGTATTGGATATTTGTTGAAATCAGCAGCCCATGGGACACAATTTGCAGAACCTTGTCGTAGGGGATCTCTGTAGAACCCGATTCAAAGTCTGCTTTGAGTGGATTTGACTGGCTACTCAGTGTAGTCCAGCTCCTAGGGACCATGTATGACATACCTGGGTTCTTAGGGGATCCTAGTCTAGAGACCACGTGTTCTTCACTGGAAGGATTCTCTTTGAGAGATTCAAGAGACGGGGAGCAGACATTTTGGATACACTGTTCTCTTGAAATCTTACTGCAAGTTCAAATTTCTTAACAGCTGGGCATCCCAGCAGACCACCCACAGTCAAGCCTTTGTGTCTAAGAAAGAGGGAGGGAGGGAATAAAGGACCTCACATGCGTAATTCTCCTAGCCCGTCATTTGTTCTCACAGGCTTTCTGTCTCACAGTCCTATTTTCCAGCTTGTCAACAGTTGTCCAGGCAAGAGTGGAACTGTCTCAGTGAAGGGACAGATTCCCTATCACATACCTCAGAGGTTTCAGGATGAGCTGGAGAAGGTGGGGCTCAGATAATCACGTAGAGAATCCTCCCAACGTTCAGTGATGACAGACACACTGGGAAAGCAGAACTTACTACAGAGAGCAGAAGCAACGAGGAGCAGTTTCCTCCTGGAAGAACAGCATACAAGCAGGAAAACAGCATGCATGAGGATCATTGCCCACCCAGGTCCCTGAGAGCCTGTGTCCAGAGGCAGGCTCATGTTGTGAGCTGAATTCATACTCATGTGGTTAGCTGAGATGCTTTTAATAGTTGAGGAATGCAGTAATATTTTGATTAATGACTTCCTTGAGGACAAAGCTCTTTTATAGAGACAGCTCTATTAGAAAAAAACCTCAAGACAAAATCCCTTCATAAATCATGCAAAAATAAATAAATAAAAGCTGCCGACAATGAAAATAGCTCAAGCACAGTCTCTATTTGTCTTTGGTTAGATGTTGATAAATAGAGCTTATCCGTAGCAAAGTTGGAAGAGTTGAACTTTGTCTTCAGCCACAAGTCTTTCTACACTTTTCATCCACATCTGTGACCTCTAAGACTTTTGACTCCAGCATTAAATGCACTTAAGGTCTCTTCATCACTTAACTAAGTTGGCTCTGAATACCCTGGATATTAAGGGATTATTACAAGTTATTATCAATTTGTATCCCTTTCTCAATATTCCTACACATCTGTCTCTTTATTCTCAGGAGGAGGAGGTTCTCTCATGGTCTGACTGTAGGAGCCATTGAGGGTGGAGGATGCTATGTTACATATAATTCCTCTGACGAGCCATAGCAGTGTCCTGTCACAGGAATCTGCCTTGCCCCAGTCCCTCTTACCTCTCTCCCTGCATCTTTACCTTGCTCTGTTCAGCTGTGAACCCATTTCCTAATGACACACACATTCATATTACATGTACACACTTATACATATAAATGTGTATGTATATATATACACATGTATACATATAAATATATATGTGTGTATATATACACACATATACATATATATGCATATGTTGTAAATACACACATGTACATATATATGTGCATATATACAACATATCTACTATGTATATAAACTATATATACATATATAATATGTAAGTATATATAGTAAATGATGTATATGCATATAATGTACATATACACATAACACATATATAAGATATACATGTATATATGTATATGCATATATATTATACATACATATATATGCATATACAAGTATATATATACATATACCATATACTATATATGTATGTGTGTGTGTATATATATGTATGTTTTGCCATTTGTTGAGTCAGTACTGTGATGTGTTGTGTCTTCAATAACTGATCAGATGACCTGAACTATGAACTTCTGCATAGTTTATTTCCAGCTGACATCAGGAAGTTGAGACACAGTGAACTACTGAATTCCATCCCTAGGATGCCTGGGAGGCTCAGTTTGCACCTGTGGGCCAGGGTAGTGGGGGGTCCCAGTGGCAATGAATACATGGTGGCCTCTGCAATTGGAAAGGCCCTGGGTGATGTACACTCTCATTGTTCACTAGCAGTGATTTTTTTTTTATCAAGGTGAAATTGACATAACATAAAATTAAACATTTTAAAGTGTATGAGTCGGTGGCATTAAATACATATACAATGCTCTGCAACTGCTACCCTTACCAAATTCAAAACATTTTCATCATCCTTATGGGAAATCCTTACCCTAAGCAGTCACTCCCCTATTCCCCCCTCCCACAAGTCCCAATCTGCTTTCTGTCTCCATGGATGGATTCATGTATTTGGGATGTTTCATACAAATGGAATCATTGAATGTGTGACCTTTTGTGTCTGCTTTAGCATGATGTTTTCAGAGTTCATTCATGATGTAGGATAAATTAGTACTTCATTCCTTCTAATGGTAGAATAGTGTTCCATTGTATGAATATACCACAGTTGGTCTATTCATTAATCTGTTGGTGGACATTTGGGTTGTTCCCACCTTCTGGCTCTGTTATGAACACTGGTATTCAAATATTCTTTTCAATACCTATTTTCTTTTGTGTATACACTTAGAAGTAGAATTGCTAGGTTATATGGCAATCTTGTTTAACTTTTTGAGGAATTGCCAAAATTTCTAATCAGCTATGCACAAGGGTTCAAGTTTTTCTGCATCTTCCCCAACATGATTATTTTCTCTATTTTTTATAATAGCCATCCTAGTTAGTGTATTTCTCACTGTGGTGCTTATTTGTATTTTCCTTGTAAATAATGATCTGGAGCAACTTTTTCTGTGTCTGTTGGCTGTTTGCATATCTTCTTTGATGAAATGTCTATTCAAGTAATTAATTAAATTTAATTTCAACCTAATTTTTAAATTAGGTTGTGGATTTTTGTCATTTGAATATAAGAGTTTTTTATATATTCTGCAAATACTTTATGCTAGTCTGCATATTATCTATTCATGTCCTTAAAAATGACCGCTGATACACAAAAGTTTTTAATTTTGATGAAGTCAAAGTTCTCTTTTCTTTTGTTACTCATACTTTTGCTGTCATATCTAAGAATCCTTTTCTAATTGCAAGGTTAGGAACATTTATCCCTGTGGTTTTTTTTCTAATAATTTTATAGTTTTAGCACTTATATTTAGGCCAATCCATTTTGAGTTAGTTTTTGTATGTGGTAGAAGGTGTGAGTGGGGAGAGGGTGTCCAACTTCATTCTTTTGCATGTGGCTATTCAATTGTTCCAGCACCATTGGTCGAAGAGAATATTCTTTTCCCTATCGAATGGTCTTAATATCCTTATTGCAAATCAGTTGGCCATAGATGTATAAGTTGTATTTTTAAAAATTTTCATATATAGATTTAATTTTATCCCATTTGTATATGTGTCTATCTTTATCTCAATATCACAATATTTTAATTACTCTAGTTTTGTACTAAGTTTTGAAATTGGAAAGTGTGAGTCCAATTTTTCTTTCTTTTTTTTTTCAATATTTTTGCTATTCATAGCTCCTTAAAAGTTTATATAAATGAACTTTTCCCTTTCTGGAAAAAAGGACATTGACATTTTGGTAACAATTGCCTTAAAGCTCCAGATTTCTTTGAATTGTATTGCCATCTTTTACAATATTAAATTTTCCAAATAATGAAAACTGGATGTCTCTTAGACATGTTTTCTTAATATGTCTTTTGCACTTTCAGCAATGTTATGTCATTTTCAATGTAAAAATCTTTCAGCTGCTTGGCTGAATTTATTTATAGATATTTTATTCTTTTGGATGTCTTTATAAATGGAATTGTTTTCTTAACTTTCAGATTGTTTATTGTTAGTGCATAAACCATAACAGATTTTCATGTGTTGATCATCTATCCTACAACTCTGTTGAATTTGTTTATGAGCGTTAATAGAATTTTTAAAGGACTTTTGTGTTTATTTTTTCCTTTTCTTTGGAGAGGTTTTTGCTATAGGGTGCGTGCGCTCACCAGAAAGACAGAGACAGAGAGACAGAAAGTGAGAAGTCACCCCGAAGTGGGGATGGCCATGCCACCATCCTTTTTCCTCCATTCTCCTCTCAGGATCTTGGGCATCCATGCACACGCACCTGGTGTGAGTTTGAGCCACTGGGTCTGGGACTTGAACTGCGATTGACTACATGGGAGTCCAGTGACATAGCCATTATGCTAACTGCTTGTCCCAAGGAATTTTGTGTTCAAGATCATGTTATCAAAAGAGAGAGAGAGAGAGAGAGAGAGAGAGAGAGAGAGAGAGAGAGAGAGAATATGTCATCAGTGATTAAGAATAGTTTTACTCCTTCCTTTGTAATTTGGTTGCCTTTTAGTTTCATTTTTCTTGCCTAATTGCTTTGGATAAAACCTTCAGTACAGTGTGAATAGTAGTGATGGAAATAGGCATCTTTGTCTTGTTCCTGTTCTTAGAGAGTATTTCACTGTTGAGTATGATGTTAGATGGTGGGTATTTAATAAATGTTTATCACTAGCACTTATTTAAGTTCTTTGAACATCAGTTTCCTCATCTGTCATTTGCCTTTTTTTTTTTTTCCTGACAGATTCATTATTTGATCTTCTCCGATATCTCTGTAAGAGCTTGATACCCTCCATGGTTCCAGCTTCAGCTGGAAGCTTCCATTGTGGGCAGTTCTGGCTCCTTTTGGACCTTCTAACCCATAGGTCAGAAATGGATTCTCTCAGGGCCAACAGGTGGCATGGTGGTTAAGGATGCTGGACTCCCACATGGTTGACAGAGGTTTGAGTCCTAGACCTGACAACTTGCTTTCTCACTTTCTTTCTCTCATTTTCTCACTCTGTCCCTTTCTGGTCAAATTAAAATAAATAAAGAAGTAGATAAATTTAAACAAAACAATTCTTAAAAAAAAAAAAAGAAATGGATTCCCACTAATGCTTCTCTTTGAGTCATTTCCAACCCTCATATTTTTCTTTTCCATCATTTTTTTCTAGTAGCTTCTCTTATGAAATATCCTCTATCTAATTATCAGGTATGGCTCTGTTTTCCTGATTGGACCCTACTTGGAACACATGGAGTTCCTGATGCCTATAATTATATCTCTACATAATAATAGATCAAATACTGGCTGTGATTATATTTCTCCTCATCTTCATGAAGTGAGCTTAGTCTAAGACACCATTCTCTCTTGCTCACATTAAGTTCTAATAGTTTAATAATCTTTCTTTCTCTTTTCCAATCTTATTTTCATATACTAGCAATTGTACAAATTCAGATGTGCATGGATGCAGGTAACAGAAACTTTCTAACTAGCTTTAAAATATGCTCAGACTGCAGTACTTGCGGATTCAGTAGCTCATTGATCCCATCTGATACCCAAGTTTATCTCCATTTCTCTCTGACTTCCTGCTTTTCTTCAGGCTGATTTCCTCAAGGTGGTTGTGTATAATACTGTAATAAGCTTTATCCATATGGAAGATTGTGAGTTCAGTTCCCTGCTTGACACATTATGTGGGAGCCTATGATCCAGACTTGCTCAGGCTAGTGAAGGGAATCACAATGTGAAATCTTTCTGAAGTTGCTTCTCTCTCTCTCTCAAGAAAGAAAGAAAGTTTAGAAAATGAAAAACTGTCCACAACACTTTTATTTCAGTCTGTTGCATTGTTAATAACAGAAAATCTAAATCTGGGTAATTGATAAGATTCGAGGTTTATTTAACTAGCATTCTGGGGATCCAAGTACAAGTGACCACATCTGGTGTAGGTCTTTTGTGGTGGATAACATGTTGGAGAGCTCCATATGGTGAGAGACAGAGCAAGCACAAGGCAGACTGTGAATGTCTGTGTCCTGTTCCTTCCCCTCATAAACTTACAAGTATCCAATCATGGACACTACCATGATGCCAAGTCACTTCCCAAAGACTCCACCTCTCCAGGCTATGGTTGATCAAGTTTCTAACCTATTAATCCTATCACAAGAAGAACCAAATTGTAACACATGAATTTTTGGGCGGACACATTTCACTGTAGCCTCTATGATTATATTCAATGTCTCTACACTCATTTTATTGATGTGTTTATGCCATAAACCTCCCTGAGAGCCTACTTCATTCTATGGATTGTGCTTGGTACTGAAATTAGAGAGATAAGTAAGACACCATAGTTTTTGCTTGGGACGTTTCAATTTCTTTATGCGTGTGTCATTCGAGATAGTTTCCAGACTCAGCCTCATTTTTGGTCACTTCCCCACCCCTGGACTGTCATCACATCATTTTCTGAAAAGGCCCCATGTTGCCACATCTTTCTCTCCTTCTCTCACTTCTACAAAACTTTTTCCAGATTTATCAGAATGAAGTGGGCTCTATGGGCCGTCATAAAACAGAATTACACAATTAGTATACATATAATCAAGTTTTATTATAATAAAATGCTTTTAAAATCTGATGACTTACTGTATAATCATGCCATGAAGAGAGACCAGGTCTTCCTCATGCTGGTGTTTCCAAGGGACTAGGCAAGTGATAACTCTGCAGGACTGGGAGAGCAGTCACCTTGAATCACTTACACAACAGAGCTATCTCTTGTGACTATACTGCAGCATGATTGGAGTCACAAACACGTCATGGGTGTGCAAACTTTGAAAACTGAATGCTACGTGAACATAGGCGGCACTGCACATTATTATATACGCACGTTTTAATTCTGTTCTTATTGCCATCACGTTGTTGATTTCTCCTGAGAAAGTTCCCACATAACTTGTGAGACACTTCTACTCTGAAATGAGAGCCCATTCAGGAAAATAACTGACTCACAGTTTTACTCCTTCGAAATGACACCATGGACTCTAGGAATGCAATTGGAAAATGCCACAAAAATATGATTAAAAAATCTTATAGCTTTAACCTGGACTTTATGGAAACTAATATAGTCAGTGAATCAAAAGAAGAATAATTCTTGTCCTTACCTGACTGAACCACCTGTATCACCTTTCGCCAAGTTCCATGTGGGAAAGTATGAAGAAAGCAGGAATAGAAGCCTGCGTCAGCTTCGGAGGTGTTATGAAAGGACAGGGTCATATCGTTGAGAGCCATCGTTGAATTTAAAAAGCAGACCCTATTGTCACAGGGCTGCCTTATGACCACCCCATAAGTAGGGCTGAAAATGGCTATGGCTCAACTAATGTTGAGTAGTTGACACCTACTGATAACCTTTTGCAATGAACTGCATATGAAGCTCAAAGTTGCCATTAAGTAAAATTGTCTTCAGCAATTTCTGCTTCTCTTTTTCTCAACTTCTGCTCACCTTTTATTTTGACCCTTTTAGGAGGGCCAAGTGCATTTATACAATTCTTTTTATAGAGGTATAATTTTTATACTGGCATGTTAATATGTTCCTAACAAAGTCTTAATAATTTGAAATTTTATTTTAGAAAAGAAGGAAGAGAACAATGATGAACCTATGAAGTAAATCACTGTTTGTAACTGAATTATAATTATAATTATGTAAGCTATAACCAATGGAGGAAGCCAGTGAAGGATACAGGGGACATCTTTGTACTGTCTTTGCAATTTCTATAATTATTTTGAAATAAAAAGTTAACAAACATCATCATTGTACGTATCTAGAGGGCCTTCTGTGGTCTATCACCATCAAAACAAACACTTGAGGTTATCAAAGAGGTAGCAATACAAGGAGAACCACACCTGCCTGATAGAATGTCCACACTGGGCGGAGACACCCCCTTGCTACCCCCAGAGCCAGAAGGCTGTTCCAAGTTCTCGTCAGTCTCTGCTCCAATCTCATCTCAGTAAGGACTTGTTGGACTTTCCTATCTTAAAGGGAAACACTGACCCTCATTCTCGATCCCTACTTTCCTGCATTAGTTTTCCTTGTGAATTTTAGTTTCTATTTTTCCCAGTAAAGTGCAAGTTCCGTGATGGCAAGACTTTTAAAAATAAGTATTATATCCTCAATGCCCAGAGCAGAGTCGGGCACAAAGAATGCACTCAGCAAATGTTTGTCGATGAATGAATCTTTGTAGAAAATGAAAGCTTAAAAACAAGCTGACTTTTTCCCCAAGAGAGAAGTAACTCAAATCTGCCCACCCTCATATGAGAGAGAACCTGTCTTTGAAGCTACGACCTTTTTCCTGTGTTCATACTTCAGAAAAAGAAGACAGGACTGATAATATCTGAGAGGAAGGAAACAGTGCATCGTGGTGGGCCTCCGAATGTAACAGCATATCTTTTTTTTTTTTTAATAGTCCAACTTCCCAAACAGTTTCCAGAGATGGATCGTCTTACTTTCCTTTTGGCTATTCTTCATGTATACAAAGGTAAAGATAATATTTATGTCTTTATTTTTAAAATTTGCTCCCTATTTTGTTTTTGTTTTTGTTTTGATCTAAAGCTGTGACATGTTCAGAGGTTGTAATGCTCTTTAGTTGGTTTAGATACTTTTTTCTTGTTTTTTTAGTGTTACAAATGGCAATTATTAGCAGTGGAGACCTTTTTAGAATAAGATAGTATAGGTCAACTTTTACCATGACTTCAATTTACTATCTTGTTAGATCTTAGAAAACTTAAGTGTGTGATGTTTCATCATTAAGTCTAATGGCATTAATGTGATATATATTTCAGCTATATGTGAAGAGATATTCTGGGATACAACTGTTAAACTTGCGGAAAATATGACATTGGAATGTGTGTATCCACCAGGGGACACAGTAACCCAAATGGAATGGTACAAAATCAATGGGACAGATAAAGACCACATAGCCATTTTCAGCCCTTCTTATGGGGTGATCATAAGGCAGCCCTATGACAATAGGGTCTGCTTTTTAAATTCAACGATGGCTCTCAACGATATGACCCTGTCCTTTCATAACACCTCCGAAGCGGACGTGGGCTTCTATTCCTGCCTTCTTCATACTTTCCCACATGGAACTTGGCAAAAGGTGATACAAGTGGTTCAGTCAGGTAAGGACAAGAATTATTCTTCTTTTGATTCACTGACTATATTTGTTTCCATAAAGCCCAAGTCAAAGCTATAAGATTTTTTAATCATATTTTTGTGGCATTTTCCAATTGCATTCCTAGAGTCCATGGTATTGTTTCAAAGGAGTAAGACTATGAGTCAAATTTATCTTTCTGAATGGCTCTCAGTTTAGAGTAGAAGTGTCTAACAAATTTTGATGTAGTGGGATGAAGCAAAGGTTTTATGTTACCTCTGTAATACCTTGGGATTGGTTAAACTGAGGTTGGCGAAGAGTGGGCTCGGGGGCCAGATCCCACCCTCGGTGTGTTAGCTTGGCGATGCAGTTCTTGACACTTAGTAGCAGCTTCAACCTCTGGTTGTCCAGGGAACTTGCTACAACACTGAATCTAGATTTGTTAGTGAATCCTAGGCAGGGTTCAAATTCCACATACTGACTTCATATTAACACCTCATTCAAGTTTAACTAGGGAGAACATTTTCTGCGGGTATTGCTGTCACATTGGAAAGCATCCACTGAGCTCTTGGAGGGCTTTCTACCAAAACTATCAGTGATGGGTTGTGGCTTGGTACTTCTGATGATGGCCACGTGGAGTGGATATGACATATGGAACACACACACACACACACACACACACACACAACCGACAAACAAGGGTTTTATAGTCATTACTCTATATTCCTCTGAACATCAAGTTCCCGAATGGTAAATTGAGATAATAATATCAACCTCTTCAGTGACTAATTTAAAGATCATATATGGGCAGAATTTAGCCCATGATAGTCAAAGAATGACACACATTTTTGTTACTATTATGTTTTTGATACAAAGGCTACAGATACAATTTTCAGATTACCAATGACAGTCGGAAGAAGGAATATTTGGAACTGTGTATGTCTTGTCTGAGTGTCTTTCAAATCATGCCCAATGGACATCTAGAGAGCATTATATGACATCCGATACAGTACTTTATAGCCAAGGGATCCATATTCTAATAGAACAATCACAGTGTTATCTGAGGAATAGCAAACGGTCAGGAGTAAGACAAGTTTCTGTGTGTTTAGTTTTCCCTTTGTCTTTAGGAGCAGCTAACCTTGACTAATTTTGTTTATACGGTCAAGGCTTATTCAGTGTCAATTAGCCAAATCTCTTCAGTTAAGTATTTCTTAAAGACCCCATCTCATCACTCAAGTCCTCACTTGCTGCTGTGTGCAAACACCTGTTAAATGAAAATTTCCAGGGTATAGTCCACTCTGATCAGTCATACAAGTGCAGGGCAGAATTGATGCTAAGGTCTTAAAACAGAGTGAGCCATTCAAAACAAGGCCCAGGCCACCAGCTTGAACAAGATGGGCTTCCCCTTTCTGCCTTGCATGGTGAGCCTTTGCCGTTTGGGTCTCAGATAAATTATTTCAATTTCTGTCAAGAGCTACTAATTAAAAATCAGTAGCTTGACCTTCTTGAAAGTTTAAAAGAATGGACGGCACTGAATTGTAGAGAATGAAATGGTGGCTACCTTCTCAAGACAAGATTTTCATCATTATGCATGAATAGTTAAGTGTTCTTTTCCTATTTTATTATTACAGAAAAGGAGAGCTCTCCTCTTCATGGGGATTTTTCTAAAATAATGGCAAGCTCCATCATTGGTTGGAGATGGGCACACCCAGCCCTCCATCTGTAATAGTTTGGTTTCTTTCTGATAGTTACTTAAACATGTTTCATTGCTGTTGTTTCTGAACACTTATATTTTTAAAGACAAAGTGATGTAATGGGTCAGTGAGGAAGTCCTACGCTATTGCTAGATGTGAAAGACTTCATTTTTTTTTCAAAAGTAAGGATGATAATGAGTTTAAAAATTTATGAGTTCTATTTCAAAATTAACCTTAAATGTACTTAAAAAATTTTGATTTGCTTTATTAACAACATGCTGTAATCTATAAATATTTCATTTTCATATAATACAAAGGGGAATTGATGATCTATTTAATAATAAAAAATTGGACTTGGGATTTGGAAATTTGAAATCGTGTACTTGATTTTAAGAACTTCAAAAGGATAAAGGAACCAAGTCATTTGCTCTGCAAATATATTTTTTCTGCTCTTTGCTTATAACTGATTATGTGTGAGGAGTGCCCATAGTCAGGGTCTCCCATGCGTTTCCTCATTTAACCCCCTCTGCACACTTGCATGTCAGTATTACCTTGACTTTACAGGTGAGGAGGGTGAGGTGTAGTGAGTCTAGTAGCTTCTCCAAGGCCTGGTATATCTCAGAGATTATAAACAACAGCAAGGGGAAGCCCAGGAAACAGAGGAGCCCTCTGGGGCCTGCAAGGAGGACACATTGGCCATTGCACATCCTGTTCCTCTTCCTCCTTCCACACTTTCAGCCAGAACTTGAAGAACAAATAGGATGCCTTGCTCTGGATAAGTGGTATACTTAGTACAAAATTATTTTTATTTATTTCTTTTCTTTCCTTTTTCAAATTAAATCACTGTGCTTTTAAAAAAAATTTTAAGAGAGGTTTTGCTATAGGGTGTGTGTGCTCAGTGGAGACACAGAAACAGAGAGACAGAAAGTGAGGACTCACCCTCTGGGGGAGATGGCCACACTGCAGTCCATTCTCTTCCATTCTCCTCTAGGGATTTTGGGCGTGCACACTTATGCACCTGATGTGAGTTTCAAGCCACCGAGTTCGGGACTCAAATCATGGTCCACCACATGGGAGTCCAGCAATGTAACCATTATGCCATCTGCAAGTCCCAATCACTGTATATATTTACAGCATACAAAATGGATTTTCCCAGTATGAATTCACTGTATATTAGTTCAGTAAGAAATATTACCATACACATTATCATAAATGATTCTAAATGTGTTAACTTTAGAACAGAGATTTCTTACTTAGCAACCAGTTTAGAGAGTTTAATCTTAATGGCTGCATCTACTTTACCTGATTCATAGAAACTATGGTAAAATGATTTGGGCGGTGGATTTTCAAGGTGGCCTTGTCATGGCAGTTTAGTTTGGAAGAGAGGTCATGTGGGAAGTGACCATCACCTTTGTCTTTGGCCATATTACTCATCATAGCAAAGGTAGTGGTGGTTATGAAAATCCTCCCCCACATGGGTAACTCCTTCTTGATACTCTACTACTAACTTACGTTGGATGTCATTTCTAGACGAGGCAACCAATGTCATTTCATTCAATGCTTATGGAACACCATGTGGAGGTGACGTTTTCCCGTCATGCAGCTGAAGATACTGAGGCTCGGTGTTGTCACCTAATTTGTCCAAGGTTGTCCAGCTGCCAGATCACAGCACTAGGAGGTACCCTGGTTTCTGAAGCAGGTACTTCTGCGCTTCATGTTTCTGAAGTGCCAGGAGTGAGATGTGGGCAGTTGTAAGAAATGCCACTCTGCCTGGCTGACCCCATGGGAAGGTTCTGAGTTTGCTCTGAAGACCTTCTCGAATACACCAAGCACATGTGCTGTGGTCCAGGGCCACCAAGAGCTGGGTGGATCGCAGTGTCCAGGCCTGTGGAGGGTGCTGTTTCTTTGTCTTTTTCGTCATCAAATAAACAAACCAACTTAAAAAGAATGAAATGAAGGAGAGTTTGGTCCCAGCAGAATGAACCAAGGTAGGAAAATTTCATGCTGGGCTTTGAGGAGCTGAGGAGCTGGAAGGATTATTTTTTTTTTTTTTTTTTT